TGAAACCTCTGTGAATTGAGATTGAACCCGCCCCGCCCCATTGCCATCTCTATACAACTAGTATAATTTTGTTATTACAAGCGTCAATAGTTTTGCGGGCTTTTACAAACTTATTTTTAGTGTTGTGGCCCTATTTCATTTTTTGCACATGGGAGATTTAGCTAGCGTTTGGACATATGTTTGATTGAAATTTGAAAAAAGAATTTTAAAAATTGTGTCAAAAAATAATTTTTGAAAGTTGAAGTTATGTTTGGACATGCAATTTATTTGAAGAAAAGTTGAAGTTTTATGAGTGGAAGAAACAATTTTGTCCAAAAACTGCTCTAAACCAGTTTTTGGGAATTTGAAAATTTTTGAATTTTTTTTTCTCAAAACATGATCACATTTCATAAACAAACAATGTTTTCAATTTTTTTAGGAGAAAATGAAGCCAAAATCTATGGCCAAACGGGAGCTTAGTTTTAAACATAAGATATCTATCATTTACACACAAGGGATTTAAAAAGGCCACTTATGTCCCATTTCCTCCATTATATAGGGGCAAAGTGTAGCAATAATCACTTTAAGCCCGCTATTTAAAATATATTCACAATTTATAATGTATTTAAAGATTAGTCAATTCACCTAAATTTTATGACTAAGTATCCTGAATTTCCAAATTCAAGACTTAGTGTCCTAAATTTTTGAGCTGCTAATTTGAAATTCAGGACTAATAGCCTGTTTGGCCAAGCTTCTCAAGAAGCCAAAATTGTTTTTTTTTTTCTCAAAAATACTTTTTTCCCTAACTTGAGGTGTTTGACCAAGCTTTTTTTGGGGGGAAAAGTGCTTTTGGGAAGAAGCAGAAGCAGTTTCTGAGAAACAGAAAAAAGTAGTTTTTTTCCAAAAGCAGAAAGCAGAAGCAGTTTTGACTTTTCTTCTTACCAAAAATATCCTTAACAAAATATAGTATATACCAAAATAGCCGTTAAACCTAGTACTTAGGATATTAATGTATAAATATTTCTTATTATTTTTAGGATAGCTTTTTAATATATAATGACTTTAGGGGTGAATGCTTTTATATTTGTTGAATGATTTTTAATATATTTAACTTATATTAAAATAATTAAGTACTTTTAAATTTTATTTTCATATTGTACTTAAATAAAATGAAAAGATTTAATTATTGCATGTAATAACAAATTTTTGAGATTATTTATTTACTCATAATATTAACTATTAAGTAAATCTATTCATGTCCTTATCCGTAATTTGATACTTAAAAGCACTTTCTGAAAAGCTTGGCCAAATACAAATTATTATTCAAAAGTGCTTTTCAGAGTGATTAGCCAAACACAAATTGCTTCTCTCCAAAAGTATTTTTTTTAAAAGTACTTTTGAAAATAAATACTTTTCAAAATAAGCTGGAGAAATCAGCTTGGCTAAACAGGCTATAAGTGTCTTGAACTTCTAAACTACTAATTTAAAATTCGGCAAAGGCCAAATATACCCCTGTACTTTCGAAAATGATCTAAGAATACCTCTCGTTATACTATTGGGCTATATATACCCTTCCCATCATACTTTGGAACAAATATACCCTTATTTTGGATGGAGTGCCACGTGTCAGCACCAGATGAAAACGACCCATTTTATTTTTTAACCCGATCCGTTTTAAAAAACACACCAACCGACCCGTTTTAAAATTCAGTTTTTTTAAAACATATATTTTGTAAAAACTGGAATTTATTTTTGTAAAAACTGAAAAAAAAAAGAAAGGAATTTACAAAATATATATTTTAAGTCTTTTCAGTTTTTTTAAAGTATTTTTTTTGTAAAAACTCAAAAAAAAATATTTTTTAAAAAAATGCTTTAAAAACTAAAAAATATATATTCTGTAAAAATTGAAAAAAAAAGAATTTACAAAATATATATTTTTAAGTCTTTTCAGTTTTTTAAAGTATTTTTTTGTAAAAACTGATTTGTTTTTAAAAAAAAAAACTGAAAAAAAAATTCTCCTAAAGCAGTGGACTACATATGCATTAGTTTTAAAAAAATAAAAATAATTTACAAAATCTTTTTTTTCAATTTTTACAAAAAAAATACTTTAAAAAACTGGAAAATATATATTTTGCAATTTTTTTCCCAGTTTTTATAGAATATATATTTTTTAGTTTTTAAAGCATTTTTAAAAAAAATATTTTTTTTTGAGTTTTTACAAAAAAAGAATACTTTAAAAAAACTAAAAAGACTTAAAAATATATATTTTGCAAATTCTTTTTTTTTTTCTTCAGTTTTTACAAAAACAAATTCCAGTTTTTACAAAATATATGTTTTAAAAAAACTGATTTTTAAAACGGGTCGGGTGGTAGGTTTTTTAAAACGGATCGGGTAAAGAAAATGAAATGGGTCGTTTTCATCTAGTACTGACACGTGGCACTCCATCCAAAATAAGGGTATATTTGTTCCAAAGTATGACGGGAAGGGTATATATAGCCCAATAGAATAACGAGATGTATTCTTAGACCATTTTCGAAAGTATAGGGGTATATTTGGCCCTCTGCCGTTTAAAATTTAGGACATAAGATTCGAACTTCTGGATATAATTTTCAAACTTTAGGACACGATGTCCTGGAGTTTGAATTTTGAGGTTTAAATTCTAGGACGCCACGTCTTGAAATTTACGAAATTGGCTAATCTTTAAATACATTATAAACTGTGAATATATTTTAAACAATATACTTAAAAGTGAATACCGGATGTCAATTCTAGTTACATAGCTACTTATTATACGACATTAGGAGTGCTTGCCAATTCGTATTCACACCATCACTTATTAAACTTTTTTTAACTTCAAAATTTGATAAAAATAATTGATTGTATTAGGAACTATTTTTGTTAAAAAGATTTCATTTATGTATTGACGATGCTACTAGTACGAGGAAAAGCCCAAAATCATACATTATCTTTGGCTTTATATTCAAAGTCAAACATATTCTTTCACATGGAGCACTAATAGTCCATTTACTTAAATAAAGTGGTGCACTTTTAGTCATAACACTGAGAAAAAGCCCCAAAACATATATTATCTTTGGCTTTATACTCAAAGTCATATATATTCTTCCACACGGAACACTAATAGTCCATTTACTTTAATAAAGTAATAAAGTGGTGCACTTTTAGTCATAATACTAAACACATTTTAATTTTTAACATAAATCTAAGATCTGACAAAATATCTGTTCCATTTATTTTCTTGTTTACCGAAAGAAATAAAGGTGACAGATTTATCTAGATAACAAATAGCAAATATACATAGAATTTATTTACTATTTATTTACTATACGTGAAATATATATTTATTAAGAAATGTTAAACACCTTTAATTTTTATTTGCAATGATTATTATCTAGATAACCTCAAATGTTATTTGGATTTTTTTATTATATACATAATTTTTATTTTATTTTATGTATATTTACTATACGTTGACTCCCTTAAAAGTGCATTATTTTGTTAAAGTAAATGAACTATTAGTGTTATACGTGAAAGAATATTTATTACTTTAAATCTAAAACTAAAGATAATGTATGATTTTGGGTTATCATTTAAGTTAGGTGCCCGATTGAGATATAACAATATGGTCAGAAGATTAGTTTTTTTCTAAAGCTTATTCGAACTGAGTGACAGAAAAAACGTTCGGCGTTTCGCAGCGTTTCCGGTGCGCAAAATGGCTTCCAAAGCAACAAACCTGTAGCGAAGCATGATCGATCCATCCTCTCAGTAAGTTTCAGAATCGGTTTTTCTAAATCTCTCTTTACTCAGTTCTGCTTCATGACTATCACTACCTCCATTTGCTCAAACCTCATAACTTGCTTAATGTGAAACAATTAGTGGTGTTGAGAGAAAAGATTGCAAACCAAAACCTGGTCTAGTGGTAGATTTAAAGTTAAAATCTTGTTGAGGCCGAGATTTGGCGCAACAGTAGAGTTATTTATTTTAATGATCTGTGGATAATGGGTTCCAAGTTTAGAAATAGTTTAATACAAGGGGAAAATTGTGTACAATATACGACCACTCTTCTTTGCCTTGCACTAGCCGAGAGGCAGTTCTTACGCGGAAAAGCTCTTCGAAATTGCTTCATTGTGGTTTACCAACGTGTAGTTCAGAGTGCTTAGCTCTGATTTGGGTCCCGGGGGAGGGGGTTAGGTGGGTGGTGGGCTGTCATTATGTCTGGAAAACTACTACCAGTAATTCTTAGCTGGATGTTTATGAGTCTTATGGTAAACATATTAGCGTTTCAAGTTTCAACTAATTAATTGTTTTTGCTTCAAAAGAAGAATTTGGAGCATTTTGCTTCAAACACAGCTACTTCAGAAGCTATTCAAAATATGCTAAAACTTTAAATAACTCTTTATTGTCTTTCTCTCAAATTGGTTGTACTATCATCTTTTTCTGTTTGGATGGATTTTATGGCTAGATGGTTGGGGGAATTTTAGGGGAATTAGCACACACTATAGTCTCATATTCCTAATTTTGGTCACAGTTCCTGAAGCTGATATGATCAATTGTATTCCTACTATTTAAAACAATCTCTTGAAGTTCAGGAAGTAGAAAATAAAGGAAAAAAAATAAAAGTTTCATTAGGATCGTCTCATCAATGTTGTAGTAGTCAGTGGTTTGAATCTTCCTCGTAAGTTTTTGGCATGTAATTGAGTGACCAATTCTGCTTGGATCTCGATGATGCGAACAGAAAGTTTAGTGATATATGCAAAACATGTGTTTCCTGGATTAATGGATTGCTTTTAAAGAGTTTCTAGAGAAGTAGTAATCTGCCCCATCCTGCTTTGGTGATGTGTTATTCTTTTTCTTTTAGCTGGAGGCCTTACATAGAGAGTTTAAACTTATTTTTTTCTTCTACCGTTTGCATTACGTTGAAAAAGAAAATCATAGAAACCGGAAAGTTAATCTTTCTTCAATAAGGTGTGTGAGATCAAGAGAGGAAACACGCCTTGGTGGGAGGAAAGCAAAGTCTTCTTCTTCACCTACAAGCGTCTTTTCACAATAGACTTCCTAGCCCATAATTCTTTGTGCTATTATTGGAAAGCCATGCAAAGGAAAGTTATCTTCTTTATTAAAACTCAATCTTCTCTAATCTAGGTAAGAATGTGAATTTTAACCCTTCCATGCGTCTCTTCCCTTTTTTGGTTTTGCCTTGCCTAAGTAATTTACTTGTCAAAAAGATTGGAAGTAACTTATAAAGGAAGTACTGGAACTAGAAGAAGTTAGACTATGGAACAATAAGCAAATACTACTAATCAGTTCTTAATAAGTTTCGTATATCATGTTTGTCCAGCCATTCTCAAAAAAATATATCATGTTTGTCCAATCTTTTTGTGCTTATAATGTTAATAAGATATAGCGAAGAAGGCTTATTTTTGTTTTTGTTTTTAGCCATTGTGCTAGTTTTGACCTGTATACCTTTCTAATTGCGCTTAAACTTCGCTGTTCTGAAATAAGTGAATGTAATAGTTGTGTCAATGGAGCTAACAAAATTAATCTTTAGAGACCTATTGCCTTTAAGTTTTCAATCAAGTTATATTGAAACTCTGCCACAATTTGTTACCTTGACCCCTGTCACACCCTCATCCACAGCGCTGTTCTGTTAATCAATGTCACATTGTGAGTGCTGAATGGTTGAGGAAGGTGCTTTACAAGGATTTTGCTGTATATCGCAAAAGTTTGGGCTGAGTCTTGTGAGTTCATTTAGAAGTGGACTTGGAATTGCTGGACGTCACTTGTTGTTGACAGGGTTATTAAAACACAGGACAGAAGCTGTTAGAAATGCTTTAGTATTTGTCCAAGCAGGTCAATGTTGTTACTTAATGGACTTATTTTCTCACTGACCTATAAGTTGAAGGTTATTTGTTAGTTAATACGGAAATTCAAAGGCTTTAATATAATTCAGGGACCAGCTTCAAGTATTCCAAAGAGGGAGGCCCTCATAAGATACAAGCATTTGCACAAGCTTGAACAGATTTATTTTGGATCATTCATTTACAAACACTTATGAATTCCTGGTCCTTAAAATTAGTAAATTATGGATTATATTACCTGATTCAGGAAATAAACAACTAGCTAATGAATTTTCGGTTGCCTCACCATTCAATTTCTTTGAGATATGATGCTAACTTTTCTTTTGGATAGGTTATAGTATTAAGCTTTTCTTTTTTTTTTCTTCTTCTTTTGGGCAAGTCCTTTTTTATTGTTAATTTGCTCCTGGTTTTTACACTCTCAGGCTTCAGTTCTGTGCTACATCTCAGACTGAATCTAATCTCTGTTGTGACAACCTTAGAGACTGCTGTATGTGAACTAGTTAAATCGCACATTTAATTCGAATCAAGGAACGGAATGCATTGAACATAGAAGAAAGGACATGAAAGCAAAATAATTTCTTTTTCCCAAAGGTAAGAAGCATAAATTATTGCAGAATCTATATGTGCTTTTAATATACTTATTGATGTCTGACTTTTGTTCATTTTTATAATCGTCATGACTAACTGAAAAAAATTCATCTTATGTTTCATGTCAGACGCCACATGTGGCAAGTGGGCCGGTCCCGGGCTTAAACGGGCCAAGTGGGCTGGTCCAAACGGTCCTGGTCCCGGGCCGGTCCCAAATTAAATGGGCCAAACGGTCCCGGGCCAAATGGTCTTTTTGTAGGGACTGGCCCGGGCTAAACGGTCCCGGCCCGCGGGCTAAGTGGGCCCAACGGATTTAAAAAAAAAAATTAAATAGAAATTAGAGACAAAAGGATGTTAAAAAAAATATCTAAGGCAATGCCTTGTAAATTTTATTATAGAATTGTGACCTAAATTTTTTAATTCAAATTTAAAGTCTAAAGACAAAAATATTGTAAAGAGATATTCAAAGCAATGCCTTGTAATTTTATTATAGCATTAAAAAAACATAGCAATATCTTTCTTAGTCTTCATCTCCCCTATGGAATGAGCACAACAAGGTGCTAATACCGCCATTGAGAAGAAAAAGAAACTAATCAAGATGTACCAAAATACAAGTTACATAATACATACTAATTTTTGTTCATACAAGTTACATGGTATCTCTTACAAACTTCATAAATCCATCAAGATCCAGAGGAATTTCCGTTGGTGGTGGCGGAAAAGTAGCTTGGTCATCGCCACTTCCGGGCGAAGCAACATCCCCCGCAAGTTCAGCTAGCATTTCTTCGTAAGCTTCGTCTTCATCTGGTTGTGATTCAGGTGTAGGACGGGTATGGGGTTTGGTTCGGGGCAGTGGAGGAGGAACAAATTGAGCACTAGATTCGCCACTCTTGGATTTTACCTTATTTTTACCAAAAGGTTTTTTTAAGGAAGCCATCTTAATTAATAAAGTAATAGAAAACAAATAAAACAAACAAAATTATAATATTAAAACTTAAGAGTTGGAACAAGTTTACCGAATTGACGAACAACTTGTTGAAAATTGATTATCGTTGAAGACTTGAAGACTTCAATTCACCAACTTTACAATTTTTTCACAAATTGTAACAATAAAGTAAGTAATAGTAGCAATTATAGAAGAAAATTAGAGAGAGATTGTGATAGATTGATAATTTTGTAAGAAAAATGAAAGAATGAGGGGTATTTATAGTTGAAAATAGGGAAAAAGTGTAATTATAAAAA